CTACTTCATCTACTTTACATGTTTCAGATCTACCCTTTATATATTCTAAACGCGTGGGAATTTCCCACGGTATTCTACAAAAGTTACGTTAATACTGAGTAAATAAAAGATATAGATAAAGATTATAAGGTATTGTTAAGATATAGATATAGTTAAGATATATAGTTTTGACTTTAACTCTAATAGTTGTGACTTCAATTTTTGGGTTCGTAACACTTGACATACTACAAGATCAAAAAATAAAAAGGAATTCCAATACATTGTGCAGCCAATTAAATGTTAGCAAACTCATTCTCTCTAATTTTAACATGCTTTTATATTTGTAGCTGAAGTTACAAATGTAGTCATAGTCATAGTCATGGTGAGTGATGGTGATGATAATAGTGGTAGTTACAAATGTAGTCATAGGTTATAGTCATAGTCATGGTGAGTGATGGTATGGTCATGATAATAGTGGTAGTTACAAATGTAGTCATAGGTTATAGTCATAGTCATGGTGAGTGATGGTCATGATAATAGTGGTAGTTACAAATGTAGTCATAGGTTATAGTCATAGTCATGGTGAGTGATGGTGATGATAATAGTGGTAGTTACAAATGTAGTCATAGCTTATAGTCATAGTCATGGTGAGTGATGATGATGGTGATGATAATAGTGGTAGTTGGTCATAGTGTATTTCAGCTTCTCCAGTTTATCCAATGCCGTAATACGCCTATAACATGTACACTCTATATCATTTAACAAGCACATTTTAAATGCTTTTGATCGTTATATCATCACCAATGATAAAAAATGGCGCCCAGTATTTTGGATCTGTATACTTGGAAGTGGTTCTCATCTCGTTCATTGTCAGCTGTAGACTCGTACTGGCACTTTTCCCATTTTTCAGATTGCCGTAAAACGATGTCATAAAGTCGAGTGTTGCATCATCATCGATGGCCCACAGAGACGCTACCACTGCACGAGCTCCTGACGCTAGAAAGGCTCGACACATGCCAACTACTCCTTCAGCTCTGATTTCACCACGTCCACTGTGASAGYAGCTTAACACAACTAACTGTGCACGTACTTGAGCCTTCTGAACATCAGCCATGGTCAGCATGTAATCTTCTTCATCTGGGATCTTTATTGCTCTTACCTCAGGAGAAGGTGCAAGTAAGATGGTAGCTTTTGATAGGATACCATGTGCAGCAATGTGAACAACAGATACTCCTTTTTGTAGTTTTTCTAGGACAGCCTGTTTTGTTGCTGCTTCGCATGTTAGTGGCTTAACACCAAGTTTATAAGCTATTACGATTGCTTCTGCTTGTGCACCCAGCAAACCGTCAATATCCTGTTCTTCTCCATCCATCATTACCTTCCCAACCAAWGGATTACCAATAATCAAAGGCTTGGCATCGCTGGTCTGGTCTGTTGGGAAGTCTTCAAAGTGCTTTAAAGTCGCTAATGAAGGAGCAAGTCTAATGCGCTT